TTCGAACTTGGCTCTACGATTCCTCAATCCGAGTCGCTATCCATTACTCCACCGAGCCTCCCTTTATCGTATTAGAAAACCTTTTTTTACCTTCCATCAGTACAGGCGATGCTGACCACACCAGGAAGGTGACTCATTGATTCTGCTTGGGCTAAGATTATATTGAATCAATTGCTAGGTGTGTTGCTATGAAAGTTAGTTCAATGTGTCAACAGTAACAGTTTTTTCGTCAGAATCTATCTTACGTATTTATAAGTCTTTTATTCGTCTATGCATGGAATATTGCGATCACATTTGATATAGTCTGTCTGCTGTGTATTTAGACATTCTTGATAAGAATATAAAAAAAAAGAATCTGCAATATTAACGATCCTGACCTAGCATCTCGGCTTCAGCCACTTTCTCACCCCGTAATTTAGCTTCCCTTTTCGTTTTCTATAAGTATTTTCATGGTAATTGTTCTGTTGAGCTTTCCTCGTTTGATAGCTCGACTTTATAAATTTAAGCGCAACGCCAGATTCGCAGACAGTTTCTGTTATTTTACAGTTAAAATAGCTAAATTTAACCGTAAGTTCTCTGCAGTCAGTTCCTTCTCTCTTACTTCGCCTTTGTTGAACTCTTCTCTATCTACTTGCTTTTCAGTCAACTTTGATCTTCAAAGCTTTATATGCTATAGCAATCGTTATCTTTTGTCTTAATCCAGTTCTTCTATGGCTCTCTTATTATTTCACACTCAGTTTGCGTCTTAGTGGCTTTATTGCTCTCCCTGGAGTGAAATGATTTTTAAAAAAAATCAGTGTTTGCTTACTGTTGGGACAGATTCCTGGCAAAAGCTGAAGGTCATCCACCGCAATGTAACTATTGGACGCGGGACGAGAAATTCCTTCCAGGACGATCTGAAGGATCAAACCATATATAATTCAGACGAGGAAAACTTATTTTCTAAATACGGTCAAAACAAACATTCGTTTTTGTTTTCAATACAGAAGCCATGGCCAAAATTGTTTGAGAAAGTTTCAATCCGTACAAAAAAATTAAAAAAAAACCATGGAAATTATCAAGGCAACGCCCACATAGTCACATGATTGTTAGTGATTGTTTTAAATGGGGATTAGTTCAGTCGGAGTTAATACTTTAGGACATGCCAATACTGTCAAAGAATAGTAGTTTCCTTAAGTGATCTAAGCAATAAATATTAAAGGATTAGAATATTTTATTTTTCATATTTTTATTTAATTGTTTATTATATTTTTATTTCTATATTTGTTTTTTATTTTATTATATTTACTTAATTTTATTTTTTATAATTTTTTATTTATATATTTCATGCAATTTTTTATTTGCTTTTATTCTTTATATATTTTTATTATTCATTTTTTTATTTTATTTTATAAAACAAAAAGTTAAAATACAGTGTAACCCGGATATAAGAGACCCGGATATAAGAGAAACCCGGATATAAGAGAGATTGTCTCTGGTCCCAAATTAGAGCCTGTGTTAAAATAGACCAAATCCGGATATAAGAGAAACCCGGATATAACAGACTTCTTCTCCGGTCCCGACAACTCTCTTATATCCGGGTTACACTGCATTTAAAAAGTAATAAATATCAAATGGTTAAAAAAAATTATTTTTCATAATTTTTATTTAGTTTTTTATATTTTTATTTTTATATTTATTTTTTATATTTACTTAATTTTATTTTTTATAACTTTTTATTTGTATATTTTTATGTAATTTTTATTTGTTTTATTCTTTATATATTTTTTTTTATTATTTATTTTATTTACGCTTTTTTGCTATTTTTTATTTTATTTTATAAAATAAAAGGTGAATATATTAGAAAATGCAATAAATATTAAAAGATTAAAATAGTAAAATATTTTTTTATGTTTTTATATATTTTTATATTTATATTTTATATCTTTTATTCTTTATTTTATGAAATAAAATATTAAAAATTAAAAGATCTAAGCAATAAATATTAAAAGATTAAAATATTTTATTTTCATATTTTATTTAATTTTTTATTATATTTTTTTATTTTTATATTTATTTTTATTTTTTTATATTTACTTAATTTTATTTTTTTTTTTATTTATATATTTTTATATATTTTATGCAATTTTTTTCTTTTTATTCTTTATATATTTTTTTATGCATTTTATTTTTACTTTTTTATTTTATTATTTTATTTTATTTTAATTGAAAAAAGCAATAAATATTAAAAGATTAAAATAGTAAAATATTCTTTTAATTTTTTATATATTATTTATATTTATTTGTTATATTTATATTATATATTTTTTATTCTTTATTTTATGAAATAAATTATTAAAATATTTATTGCTTAGATCTTTTACATCTAAGCAATAAATATTAAAAGATCTAACCAATAAATATAACAGGTTTGACTGGGGTGTGGTCAGCTCCTTGCCACAGTACAACTAAAATTGGTTGGTTTACTGCACCAGATATAACCGGGTGGATCGGGTAATTCTTCATCATCAGCTTACTACCTCATACCCAGGAAAAAGTGCCAACAAAGCCGATGGATTTCCCTGTTCCGCTTTACTTGAACAGAGCTTAAGCCTTTCCCAGTTCCATCCGTCTGTTTGACGGCGATCGCCAGTAGTTAGAGCCACAATTCTGTCTTTGTGACATTGTTGAAAAACAATTAAATCGGTATCACGCAGAGAATGGTAACCCTTCACTTCTGGTTTTTGGTCGTCTTGAAGGGGAGAAAAGTTATTTGATAAACGGACCAAATTTATTGCGAAAAGACAAAAGAATTTAACTTCTAAGAAATTATGCTTGAGGGTTTTCTCAGAATTCACTGTGTCATCAAATATGGCTCGTTTGCGGGCCATATTTGATGCATATAATCTAACCGGTTTCTTCTCCCCCCGCCTACATGGAAAAATGAACCCTAAGCGAAATGCCCGCTGGCTTATATACAGACATCTTTCTCGATAACAATGATTAATGATTTCACTTGACCTAGCCAATTCAGGTGAAGTTCATTAAAAAAATATATCCAAGTATTACCTATCAGCACACTAATCCCGTTCTGGTCGATAAGTCACTTCCCACTGATAACTGTTCTTCAAAAATACATTAAACTTACAATATCAGTTTCCAGTAAACGTATTTTATCAGCTATCTGCTTTATCTAGGAACCAGAGTTGAATGCTAAACCATATTTAAATTCTCTGTTTAAATATTTACTTTTTTAATTTTTAACCCTTAAACACCATTTTTACATTTCTACTTATCCTGTTAGACAATTTCTTTTCCTTAATGTCATGGGTCCTTACCTATAACTACAGAATGAACTCTTCCTAACACTATGTATACTACGCCTCTCAAGAGAAAGGATCGAATCGAGTCAATCCGATAGTAGTTCACTCCAAACCAGACTGACATTCATACTAACACCTTCTAAATCTTGTATTATTATTTCGTCTAATATACCTATTTGTACTCTTGTGTTCGTGTTGTTCTTCCTTGGTCCTAACCTGGACCATAACAGTTAACCTATCAGTCAGTTATGTGCGATGTGTGGTACACGCTTAGGCGATCATGTACCTTACGATACATAACTGACAAGGTTGACATTCCTTTCTGAGGTAGACCAGTTGCTATCCAAGGCTATAGAAACCGGCCTGTCCTGATATGGGCGGAGAAAAAAGTGGATTCATACCTTTTCTTTCTTATTAGCAAATAAGTGAATGTAATGAATTCGAATTGATTTCGAACTCGTCTCTCCGATTCCTCAATCCGAGCTGCTATCCTTACTCCATCGTGCCTCCTGATGATATGCGTATAAAAAAGAAAAACTTGAAAAAAAAAAAAAAAAATAAGCTGCAAATTGCTGGTACCCCCCCCCTGAAGAGTGGACGAACAGATTCGTCTCGAAACTTTGGAGCCGAAATGCTGAAGGTAATATCAATCAGCTACGTGACAAACTTTTACCTACATTTTCTCTCTCTTTCTCTTTCTTTCTTTCTTTTTCTCTTTCTTTCTTTTTCTCTCTCTTTCTTTCTCTCTTTCTTTCTTTCTCTCTCTCTCTCTCTGTTACTGTGAACTTTTCTAATCATATTTTTAGATTTCAGATTTTACCCCAATATGGTTTTAAGAAGGATGTGAATTACTCATCGAACACGTATTTCGATAAGTTGGCAGATACACAGATTCGGTGCGACAGCGATTTTGTTGATAAATTTTCAGATAACCCGTTCCGCATTGCAATGCAGTTCGTAACTTTGCAGATAGATTTAGGGAAAAGGATCAATGGACGATGACAAACGTTGTTGAAGGCCAGAAAAGCTATCGAGGGAGAAACTTTTGGACATTTCTGACAGTGTGCTGCAGATTCCAAGAAAATCATTACGAAAGTTAACGCAGCAGCAAGATATTGGTCGTGGAACTGCTCACCAAAATTAAAACCCTTCCCAACTCTTCTTCACTATTCCTCTTAGTCCCTGTTTTGCCATCCATTTACACAAGCTTGTTTGGTACGTAACTCAATGTTTTTCTCTGGTTCTATTACTTTTAATTTTTTCCTGTGAGTGTTGAATTCTCCAATCCCCCTTTCTTCATTGTTTGTCACATGTTATGTCCGTGATATTCTCATCTTTCTGTAAAACCACATTGAACCATATTAAGAATGTTTTTTTACAACAGAAACCCGAACCACTTATCCAAAGACTTTAATTGAAGAAGAGATATCTTCTAAATCATTTGAAATGTGTAGAAAATATTGGAAGTTTTCGATTCGATTGATCTGTTTTTTTTACGATTTATTTAAAGGTAGAACGTACTTTTAGATTGCAAGAATTTCTTTCGTGATAATAATGATTTTACTGATACAGGTCTTATTGCTTAACTCATAGATAGGGAGAGAAGAGATCGATTCCTACGTTTCCCAAGAGTGCGTGCGTGAATATAACGAACCGAACTGAAATTAGAACTCGGCTCTCATAAGCCTCACATCCAAGCTTACAGCCCCTAGTATTCTCAAGCAGTCACCCATCCAGGTATTGACCAGATTCGAAGTTGCTTGACTTCAATGATCGTACGGGAATTGGTGTTTCAACTTGATGTGTCTGTAAGTCTCGAGGTTTTCATGATATATTGCAAATTTCCATTGACTAATCTGTTGAAAAATATTATTCTTATTGATCGATTTATTCATTTTTTGTTTTGCGTTTCCTGAATTTTGAATTTCAAACATCGACCTTGTTTAATTTACACCCTATTCAGTATTAGATAGCTGTGCAAGAATTTGGAAAAATAAAATTTGTCTGAGAAAGTTACCTCAAAATGAGAATACGGTTCTTCAATAAGCACCATTCCGTGATGCCATTTCGATCCGCCAGTCTTGTTTTCAGGCATTTCGCTCCAGATTATTTCGGGTTCATCGCCATGATAAGTGATTTTAACATTCAACTGACCCACTTGCGTACCATGTGCATTGTACCAGAAATGGAAGCAATACGATTTGGGATTATTTGGCAACAGAGGAATTGTCTGTGACTTCAACTGGGCAGAACCAGAAATTTTTAGTCCTGCATTTATCAACATGTAGAATCCTGTGTAAAAGAAGAAATAAAATGAAATAAAAATAAGAAATAAAAATAAGAAATAAAAAGAAGAAATCAACAGTACTAATTATGCTCGTGGTTTGTTACCAAATTCTGGTTGACTATGGCTGCGTATTTACCAAACGTATAGACTATACATCAATATATGTGGCTTACGACCATATCAAGTTGAAACATCAGTTCTCATACGACCACCTAAGCTAAACAACAATGAGTTTAATATCTAGATGGTTGACCGCTTGGGAATACCAGGTGCTGTAATCCTGGATGTGGGGTCGGTGTAATTGATAACGGCTCGGAATTAGAGAGCCGAGTTCCGATTCCATTTGGATTCGTTATATTCACTTGAGCACAAATATCATTGGGAAAGGCATGAATGTACCCCAGTTATGGATTAATTAGTAGAAGTTGTATCTATAAATCCTCTTTATCTTCCAAACATTATTGTAATCTAAAATTATTTTCTGACGTAAGAGGTTGATAAGCCATAAAAAGCAAATCAATCAATATGTGTATCATTTGGCATCGTAGAGAACAAACAACAGGACACACTTTTGTGATAGTTTGGATTTGTTCAAGTTTCTAACTTTTACCCCTGCCTTGGTAAACCCAGTATTTCACTTAAGTCTGGTAGACTCGACCTTTAAGTAGGGGTGGAGAGGTCACAGTCTGAACGTGCTAGTTGCTGCGGTCGTGGTTTCCATAGCAACTAGGTCTTTATGGGATGAAGTTGCCAGCTAGTCCCATGTCCAGCCGGTTTTGAATTTAAACATGTTTTTCTCCTATACTTGCTGCCAAACAAGTCTGCAGAGTCCAGTGTGCCCTACTATGCAACCAATAGTGGGGGGGTGAGAAGAGATGGGGGTCATACATTTTCTAAGGGTGTTTGTGCAAAAATTAACGAAATCGACTGAAATTCGAACACGGTTCACCGATTTTCCCTTCACCACTTGTCACATCCTTGACATCGATTCCGAATGTGAAACCTACCTGACTTTTCACCGATCGTGTGATCCACTGAAGGCCCATTTTCGCTTCGTACGGTGGAGGCTTTCATTCTTTGCCAGTCCAAGTCGGCTCCACCGATGTCATGGAGATTTTCCCAACCGCAAATACCTTCCTCGAATGTACAGAATGCGACGGGATCACAAGCCTCTTTGGATAATTTGACATCGTCAATAGCAATGTCTCCCATTACTCCTTTTCCCCGAACGCCTTCAAAAACTATCTGCAAGGTAAAAAAGAAAAAGAAAAAAATGAACACCAGTTCGTAGATAATGTTGATAAGCAAGCAGGCGTACACTTACAACTATCAATCTTATTGCCGTAGCATCAAGAATGTAAGAAAAGAAACAGATTTGAAAGAAAATAAATTCAGATAAATATATCAGTAACTAAGATTTTGGATACACAAAATACCGACTATAAAATTTCTTATCTTCTTGCTTCTGCTTACCTGCAGAATAGAGCAGTGGCTCTTTTTTTTTTTTAGGATGGAAGGACCTACTGACATAATTTTGTTTAAATTTTAATGTTTTGTTCATTTCATTTTATGGTTCATCCTCCGACCATTATTTCATGAAATGTTTTTTTTTTATATTTTTGTATTTATATATATATATATATATATATATATATATATATATATATATATATATATATATATATATAACTTGGGGTTTTAGTAGGTCCCCTGCGAATATGTGGTATTTTGGTAAATGTTGTATTGAATGAAGATGGATGTGTTCTTTATGGTGATTGAACCAATTGTATGAATGAATGGGTCGTGAATCAGATCAGCTAAGTGTAGGATAGTCAGTGTAGACCAGCATTTGCCCACTTTTCCATCGGCCTCGTGTCACATGAAATGTACTTCATTTCAAAATAAAGTAAAATTTGTTTTCTATTATCAATTAATTTCCAATTCCAGTCGGGTTCGTCACATTCACTTAGGTGCAAATACCCTCGGGAAAGGTATAAATCCATCTCTTCTACCGCAGCTAAGAGTTCAGTAGAAGGACATAATTGGTTCTATAGCCTTGGTTGGCAACCAGCCTACCGCAAAAAGAAATGGCAACCTACTGCAGAAAGATCTCTGCATAGTCAGCCACGAATCGAAAGAGACAAGATCGCCCAATGTGAGTATCACGTATGGCACTGACTGACTGAGTTAACATTAAAAGTATCACATAATAGATATGAATCTACCATTGAGAAATTCATGTACGAACCAGTTAAGAAAAATTCAGTCTAAGAAATAAGGAAATTGAACGTGTGCTTGGAATAGTTTTGTTCAACACTACAAAATTCTACAAAATGAAAAATAGTAGACTGAGAATCAGAGCCATGCATTCAATGTTTCACCAGACGTAGGATTTCATATGGAATCCATGCATGACGTCCAAGTCGTTCCGAAAAATATATAAACTATGTACAACTATTGTCTCACATCATTAAAAATGGCTTCAAACAAGGATTAGGATAGAAGACTATCTTTCATCAAATCTCGTAGACTGGCGCTATATAATCACAAGCAAAGAACATTACCAAATAGCAAAAACCACACCACTGTAGACTTCAAATAGCATCCATAACTAAAATAAATAGTAGATGTCAGTAGAAGGAAAAATAATAATATAATTAAGATGTTGAACGTCCACACCACCTTAAACAAAAGGTTAGGAAGGAAACTGACATCAATACCAGAAAGAGCGGTAACAGAAGTATATGTTTCTGAAAAAAAAATTTAAAGAAAGACTTTATAACTTTTCATCGACAGTAACGCTAACTGTTCGGTTAATGAATGCCGAAAGTTTCCTTATAAGGAAACGGCTAATCTCACAATTATTATTATTATCATTTAATTTATATAGAATTACTCTCAGCAGACGCAAGCAGTCAGCATGAAATTACGCTTGTCAAATTCAGTGTGTTTGTAATATTTTATATTATTTGACAGTTAATTTTCAGATTCACTGTAACGGAGAAGCAAATACAACATTTTTAGGGTAATGAGATAACTATTCCTTATATGTTTCAATTTCACTGCCTTAGAAAAAAACTGCCGAGGGAACTAGTCAAAGTAATTTCCATTTTTGGGAATCAATTGTAATGTAATTGTAATGACAAATGTATCATTCTTACTAAGCGTTTCTGAAATATTTCCTAACAGGTGATGAAAACTAGGTTGTATACAACAATGTTTAACTCAAAAGGTAGTGAACTAACAAGCATACATCTACAAAAACCGCTCGCAAACTTGTGCTCCATCGAAGAAATATCATGTGCGTGTGCTAAATTACCATAACACTATCCATCTATCTGCATTACTTTGTTCATGTCTTATTCGTCTAAGTTTGTTCGTATCGATCTATTTCGCTTAGTCTGATCTCATCTGTCTATATCTATCTATCTATCTCAGTCTGTTTATATCTTAGTGATTATATTTTAGTTTTCTTACCTGGAAAGGTGTTGCCGATTTGACTGGAACAGTTGCCAAATGCCAATGTGGACCCTGGTCCATCTGAATTGACCAAATCTGATCGCCAAATTTATTATTTTGGTACAAATATACGTTCAATCTTGCAACGTCTTCGCCGTTCATGTTGTACCAGAATGTCAAGCATCGTTCTTGGCTAGTTGCCGGATAGACTGGACTGTAGAGGTGAGCGTGGTCATCCCTCGATTTACCCGAAACTTCGATGTACATATAATGACCTGTCAGGTAAAGTGAAAATAAAAGTAAAATTCGTTTCATTGAGGAAGGTTTGCAAATGTATTCTGTTAAAAACAATCGTTTTTTTTTCCCCATTTGGGTAACTTGGTAATGGAAATTCACGTGTGCACTATCCGACGTAAAACAAATTTCTGAGATCACTGAAAAGTCATAGCCGATGCAGTAACTGTGAAATTGGGAACAGCAGATCACGTATAATAGAAAAAAGAGAGTAAGAAAAATCATCTACGGAATGAAATTGAAATAAGAATGATTGACGTAAGGAAATAAGGAACCTGAAGAAAACAAATCCTATGCTATACACAAAAAAAGCGAATTAGTAAGCCAAGCGTGAAAATGAAGATCGGAATTTTATATCATTTTCAAACAGTTTCATCATATCCTTATGGAGAAGTTCTAATTGGAATTCTATGGAAGAAGACTTCTATCTAATCGTCTGCTCTCTGAAAAATATTTTGGAAAGAGAATTTACGATTTACCATTAAAACGAAATGTAGTAGCCTTTGACTAAATAAATCATTTTTCAATTTATTTTCCCAGAAAAAAAAAAACGGCAATTATAATTTGAACAAGGTGAAGAGTATGTATATAATTATAAATAAATGATGTTTTTTTATCTGAATTTTAATAAACGAATTGTTTTGGTTACTCTCTCTTAACATCCATAGTCTTGATGCGGGAGAAAGTAGGTTACAAGTTCAGTGCAGAGGTAAGAACTGACTAAACCTAAGAAAAAAAAAGATGCAAGAACCGGAA